TGATCAACTAACAACCAGCTGATTATGCCGAAACGACGAGGCTTGACCTGTGGTTTCAATTAACCCTCACTCCACAACTAGTTTTCGGCAGCTTATGAAAATAAATGTTTACACCTTTCGTTCATCATGGCTATCTTTTTTCATAGACTTGAGAACACGGACTGATAACCCGGGACAATACCAGTGCATGATTTACAAATCTGCCCTGTCGCAATGAGACATTTTGAACTCAGCCGTGAAGCAGGAAACAAATTCAACGCGATTCATGCACACAATCCTATTATTACGTTGTGAATATTAGAAGAATTAACGCGTCATGATGATAGAAAAATCTAATTCCATTTTATTGAGGTGAATTTATGAGTGTACACTTCAACATCTCCAGAAGTTTTTCGGCATTGAATATGAAAAGGACGTCAATATAAGTCTCTTCAGGCGAAATAATTAATGTATTTCAGTTTTATGTTAAGGTCAATGTGTGAAATGATACCTGTAAGTTCGAGCAATACGGGGAACATCGAGCATCTTTGATCAAAACCGGTTTTGTATCAGTAGTTGGCCTTTGTTGTTGAACAAATTAATTCCCGAGGAAGGCAAACTTCCTCAGTGACCTTGAACCGCAGTGGAATAAAGTGGTTATCCCAAAGGAACTTATTACTTCGAAAGTAGATTCTCGGATATAGAGCTCCCATGTGTAATGTCGTTAGGCTCTTATGATAGTAATACACAGCTCCCTCGTGTTTTGCAGTATGTGAACATGCTCGATTGATGGTGGTGGGCCGAAAATGACAAAGGAGCTCCAACTTTTACAAGTTCTAGGGCCGAACCGCCAATGGCCACTTGACAACATTAGACAAAGCCTTGTAAAGCCTCGTTTCAACGTACAGGGCGTTAGAACGTTTTGCAGGTAATACCCAATGAGGCTGATAGGCATCACGACCCTTGGGAGTTGCAAATGAATGTACTCAAAGGAAGGCGGCTGGAAGTCGCTGGCGCCAGAGCACTGATTTGCGACGCAAAGCTTCTTGGTCTAATAAATGAGAACATTCGTTTTTATTAGGAAGACCTGGCAGGTATTTTCCTATGGTAAACTGCAGGATAGAAACGTACCACAACAGCATGATGACGGCTTTAAGCTCCCACGAGAGGCACATGTGGTGCAAGTTAGCAAAACGGTTTGTAAGCAGGCTGTGGGGAATCTGCAGACATACGTATGTCACGGATCTCGCAATGAATGCGCCATTTAATTCTGGAGGTCAGTTTGAGTATGTGCGGACCCAGTCTGCCTGCGGACGGGCGGACGGACATCTGAAATGAAGATCAGTCTCCATATTATGGAGCGGTAAACCTCTGAAATTTTGCAATTTCTCACCCGATTTTCGGAACGCGGTACACCGGTACACCCCGTGGGTCATCCGCTTCCAGGTGTTCCGCATATTTAGAGGGCAGACCGGGAGGCACTTATTGTATCATAAAGTCGAAAGTCACAAACCAGCGAATGCGCTCAAAACCCACCCAGTCATGCTGTGGCCACTTGCCTTAACAGTGAGTCAAACCGTATCCCATCCCTGTAACTGTATGCTCGGAAAAGTGGATCTCCACTTTGGGCAGAAAATGGGGACGATAACTTCCATTCAATAAACAATAATGGGCTTGTTGCATCCAGCTACTAACTGACTCAGCATACCATCGTCGTATCGAAACAACTGGAACGGAGCCTAAGAGACAGACTGAAAATGCCTGTGGCGGAAATCAAGCACCCATCTCTCGTGAGCAAGGATTCGTCATAAAGCGCTCAGGTTCATCATGTGCCTGAATAGTGGAGGTATGGTTAAAATCTGCCCCTCAGATGTCACGGGAGCAGTTGTCCCAGTAAACAGTCGATCACTGTAGCTGACGACCTCCTGGTTGCTTCTATACATTTCAGAATAGAGGTCTCCCTAATGGAGAGTACATGTTATGTCGCAACGTTGTCCAATACGAGCGGACTGCGGCACGGATGCGCTGCTGCCTTACAAATCCTGGTCTGCTTCTGTATGCGGCATTCATGAACGACCAAGCTATACATTAGACTGTGGTATATTTTTGCTGACCGTATGAATGCTGCGGCGAATCTATTAACATGGGAAATGAATGGCTACCTCGTTTTGTATATCAAAGGACCCTGAAGCATTATTTACACATGAACGAAAGGACATGCTACAATTTATTGATTGTTCAGTCCAGACGTATTCGGAAAATCCACTTGAGTAACGCGCAAAATCACAAGCCAGAGATTGTGGATTCTTGAGATTTATCAGTCAAATGCGATGCCACATGTGCAAAATACGCAACAAAAGGGATACCAAACTCAAGTTATGGGGGTCCCGTCTTAATTGCTGCATTAAGTAGTGCAAGTCCAAAGAAAGCTCGGAGAGGACGGTAAATCAATCTCAGTTAGTGGCACACACCTGCGCACAACACTCGGCAACGCAAAATAGTCAAAAAGCGGGCGTAAAAGATGGCCGACCAAATTGGTCCGACGTGTCAAAGGTTAAAATTTCAAGGGGGATAACAAGTTACTATCGACTCTATGGGGTGAACGCAGTGAACAACAGGCTCAGGCAATGGATGGGTTTGGGAGGGAGGAAGGAAGTACACTGCTCCACCGAAGCCAACTTGCCTTTCCTAGACTACCATCACCCAGCACCGAACACTAGCGACTATGAGAGGCCAGGCTGATACAACTGGAACTAGCCACAGTCACCTCCACAGTCTTTAATTTTTACCTACGGTGACTGAGCTCATATGACTCAAGATGTCCCTCTAGCATGCATATCCTCCTTATATCTCTGGTTAGCAAACCATCGTGAGTCTTGAGCACGACCGTCCTTACGCACCCATCCGAGCCAGGTGTAGTAGATGTTACAAATCGGTTCGACCAGGTACCGCACGTATACTGCTACTCATGTACCAATACTAGGTCAGCCACTCTTATGTTTCTTCTGAAAGTCGTCCACTTATGCGGCGTTTTAAGCGGTGGAAGGTATTCTCTCGGCCAGTGGCGCCAAAGCATACCAGCCATCAATTGACTCTTCCTCTACTGCCAAGTATATCGGTGCCGTAGTCCCAGATCTTCTTCAGTAGGGACGTATGACACTCGCGGTAGCAATAGATGGTTTAGGGCCAACACCTCAATGTTATCAGGATCATCCAGCTCTTAGACCACTGGGCGGTTTTTCAGTATCCGTTCCACTTCCCTCAGCGACTCTCCTGTTAACACATGCTTCCGGGAAACTGTACTTGAAACACGTCGAATCAACCGTCTCACCCTCTCCCACGTGCCACCTCTGTGGCAAGCGCAAGTAAGAAGAAAGTGCTAGTCGACTTGTCATCTTAACATACCGCTCTTCGCTTTGTTGCAATCCAACGTCAGAATGAAAACTTTACTTGCCTAGGAGGACCGTGTGCACCAGGTTGGAGACCACGGGGCACTGGGTTATTTCAAACCTGTTGTGCAATCTCAACCTGATGCTGCAAGGGCGAATCGGATATTCTTCTGGCCTTGGAGATCTGCATACATCAGAAATCCAGATGGTTCCAGGGACGTATCCCTATGTGTTTGCGATGTATGTAATGTTCATCCTCTCATTAAGCCCCACTCAAACAATACAGCCCCAGCATATTATTCTGGCAAACTTGAAATGTGTTTCAGAGGTATCGTTAAACCGGGTAAGCGAAGCCCCAACGAGATGCGTTGGCCTCAAATACGTTGAGTACGAAACGTGTTCCGAGGTGCTTGACCTCGTTCCCCCCGGAGCATCGCCGCCTCCAGTGGACCTACGTCTTACTGACGCCTTGCTCGAACAGTACCCGGATTACAAGCTTCCGCCGCTGACTCACCCTGGCGCCGACGGCGAAACTGTCAACCCTTCAAGATCCTAACGCGTGTATTTATCATAAAAAAGTTTTCTCACTTCGGGTAGCTGATGTTTGGGACGACTTTCTCGCGACGATTGTTCATGCTGCATGCAGATTGATTTTAAATCGTTTATATATTATTTTTAATGGGTCCACGCGCCGGCAAGCGTAACACATGGTAGTGGGAAAGCAAAGAGCGATGCCACACATTTTTCCCTTCGTGCCATTCAGGAGAGAGGAAAACGCTGAACTACATGAACAAACTAATTGCGGGATGATTGGATGATAAGCTCTATCTTGCTTGTCACTCAGTATGTCTTTACACACCAGTCACATGCCTACGCATATTCCCTAACGAACAATTTACCGTTGCCTGTCATTTAAATATTCAAAGCAAGTATCTCAAGAGACTGACATGGTGACTGTCCCTTGCAGTGGTCTGGCTACCCAATGACTTAGTTTACCAGGAGTGTGTGGCAAAGAAATAAAAATGATTACGCTAGGTTGGGTATACAAAAATAAAGAGATCAGATGGAACAGACTCACTAACAATTGTTCTCTTTAAAATAGTTCGTCGTTGGCCCAGGTCAGCGAATAAACAATAATCCAATTATGTTGGTCCAGGGGTCTTCTTCTGAACAGATTCCGAAGATGTCTGAAATGTTCTGGTACCAGAGCTAGTACATGAGACTCACGAATGACCGCTGCAAGCGCGAGCGAAATCAGAAGAGAGAGTCGAAGCACGTGACCATGCTTGCATTATGTGAAATTGTACAAGTGCGCGTTTTTGTAGTTTTTCGTATTCAAACAAAAAACGGTTATGCAACTGATGAAATACGTAGTGTTATAATGGACGTAAAACAAAGGTAAAAACTCTACCCCCTTAAGATTGTCAAGGCTAAACGTCGCAGCAAATCACAGCCATCTATATTCTCTGCTACGATAGTCACTGTCACCAACGAAAATTGTAACTTAAATTGAAGTGGACATTGAGAGATACGTCTGTCGCTTCCGACTAATCACTTTTGCTTCCATGTCGTATGCTTCTGTCCCGTGATCATGAGCCAATTAGAATGTTGGGTTAGTTTCTGTCCCGAGTCAACATTTGAGTTCGCTGCTGACCGTGTTGGGCAATCATGGCGGATGTCTTGGACCTTCATGGTGGGAATGACTTCGAGGAGGATGTCGATGGGGACCGTGAGTTTGCTTTTCTCATCGTGTATTTTTATGCCTTGCAGTTGTACTGTGAGTATCAGGGCCTCTCCAAGTGACATGTTTGTGGTCATCCTTGCCGCAATTGTCCCAGGAATGAGGCGACACTTCGGTGAGGAATAATTGGCAGGTAGTGATTCAGATAATTGGATGCGGCTTGATTTTCCTTGGAAGAGGTTTCAGTTTTTGGGGGGGGGGCTGCGGCTTTATTTTCCTTGGTAGAGGTTTCAGTTGTTCGGGGGGGGGGCAGAAGGAATTTCGCTCCACAAGTTCTGATGCATTAGGTATACCTACTAGGCCATCTATGGTGTGAACTCGAGTTTTAGATGGGCTTGTGGTTTGTTTAGGAAAAACGCTCGCGGAGAATGCTGACCCTTGGCTTTACGTCAGTGGTCTCGAGTGCAGTGGTTAGGGCGATGGCCCACCGTTGTGAAATCAATGAACACATGGCAGTGACAACTGAGTCTTTCTAGAAGAGCTCATTGCATCGGTGTGTGTGCGGGAACCAATGGAGGTTACACTGTTTCAGCTGCGTTGGTCGGTGATCGGGGAGTCCATGAACAGGCACTTAGGCTGTTGTGTTGGCATCGACTGTACCTAGGTGGTTATGATGTAATTGATCGAGTACGTAGACGTAGATGGGTCAATGGAACAGAAGATTTGACTGCCTGAAGTGAGGTCTCATTCAGTACGCGACAGACCTACGGCAGTTGCGATGAAAGTGAATGTGAAGCGTTACTATGATGAGAAGTAGAGAGCTGGGTGTAAAAATAACACCACACCCCTTCACTGAAAGAAGTCACTGAGACGCTTGTATTCTGTGGCATACGATGTAACCGGGATAAACAATACACTAGACCGGTGCGGGAAAACGCTCAAGAGGTAGAGTTCTGATAGTGAATATATGCTAAACGCTCAATAGTTGTCTGTAAACAAAGTGACATGGTTACGCAATCATTAGGGACATTGTTGTCAGGCTTCCCTAGAACGTATAGTATATGGAGTCTCGGCGATTAAGGCGTGAAGTTGCCGACTGGAAGATCCGCGGTTTGAACCCAACTCTGGGATATTCAGATAGTCCTGTCTAATCCTGGTCGAGTCGGCAACATCCCAATCTTTATTCGTTATTCGAGTTTCACGGTAGCTAGGTACTGAAACGATACAACTGGACGATTGGTTGATTTTGAGTGCTGCAGTTTTCGTTTGTGCTGGGATTTGGGTTTAATATAAGCAGGTGGGAACTAATCGGGATTGTGGTATACTTTGGTTGGCATAGTCGTCGAATCTTCATTGGGCCCAGTTCCACCTTGTTCGACCGCCTTCTGAGCCAAGTGACGGATGGTTACAGTTTCCTCAAGTCTGCTGGGGAGTCGAACTTGTGCGCACGTAGGGTCACATTGCAGAAGCTCAGTGTCTTCATCCAGCAGGTCGTACGGTTTGGCCATTCGTTTAGGCAGGACTAGTTTCAGATATGAGTGCCATGTAGGAAGAGCCACCCCAGACGTTGTACACCTATTGTATAAAAATGTCCGTTCATGAGACGTCGTGTTGGTAAAACGGGTGACCTTAGTGGAAGAAGCAACGTCGCCCTGGTGTGGTGATTTGTGTACCTCTGACCACTTGAGCTATATTGAATGCTGTCCGTGCGATACTCAGAGTTTCCCATACCGCGTTGGTCAATGGTTAGAAGTCTGAACAACATACTCCTCCAGGTTGGGGTTTTGATATGTATTGACCTGTCCTATAAAAATGGTAATGCGCTGCATTTCCTGCCAAACGCAGCTGCACTGTGGTCAGGCTTTTGAACCAAACTCTGGTTAAAGGCCTCCCTGGCAGTATCCCCACCCGCGTACAACCATGACACAGCTGACAATACTTGCATGCCACATTGGCCGTTGTTTGGTGTCACTAGATGAACCGGCTTATTTTGTAAGCACACTACCATGGAAGTCTTCCTTCTCATGCTTTTACGTATTCCCTCTCCTACCCTACCCACCCCGATTTGAACGCTCTCTCCGCAGGTCCCAGCACTGGGACTGGCCGATTCGTTCGCTGTGCGTGACGCTCAGCTGCGCATTCTGTGTGTCCAAGTTCTGTAACAACCCTATCGTTCAGCTGTAGCAACCTTTCGGTGCCTAACTGTTATACCACCCGAAAGTTGCACGAGGGCTGGGATACTGTCAGATTGCGCAAGCCTAGACAGGTAGAGGTCGGGTTCGAAGCACGACCTTCCGGTCAGTAAATTCGCGCTTTAACCACTTGGGCCATCTCGCCCTTCTTCTGGGCGTGTGGGAATGTCATCATCATCATCATCGACAGCATGACATCAGTGTTCAACACCGATGCTTCACTGCCGTACAATCATGACTTATTTGAAAGCCTTATTGTAAAGAAAAGAATAAAGGTGAATGGGGGAAGGACTTGTTGCTAGCTTAACACAATCATTCCGAGGTGCATACACCTCCAGACATTCACTCAGGCAATCTGGATAGAAACTGACAACAAGAACGCCACTGACATCGGTTGGCAGCCATATCTTGTAGTGTCTCCAACCAGGCACAGTGAGGATCACGCGGTCCCCATCCTGGAAGGCGAGTAGCACCGACAGCACCCAAGCGTCTCGTGATCTCCTTCATACTCCTCTGCCAGGTCATCGGTTGGCCACCTCTCTGTTTACGCCACTCCGAATCGGGTATAGAAAATAGTACTCTTTTCGGTAAACGATGATTCGGCATGCGTAAAACATGTCCCAACCAACACAGCTTCTGGTGCTGGACACATTCTTCAATGGAAGTACCCGTTACACAACCGAAAACACGCTTTCTAACCGCCTCGTTACGGATTCGCTGACACCAACCCAAACGAGTTATGGTTCTGAGACAACGATTGTCGAAAACCTGAA